AGACTCCGGCAGCAGAGTGTGACAACCTTAGAGCTAGGGATGAGGTAGCATCCGTCGATGGAGTTGTAGTGGTAAGGCCTGCGTGCACTTTATGATGACAAGAGATCAAGAGTTGTGCTGTCTGCTATTCTACTCTGCAGGTGATGAGGAGACATGGTGTCAGTAACTCGAGGCCAGTACATGTGCTGGATATCTATGCTACAGCAGTGCATGTGCAGTGCTGCTCAATGAAATCCAGTCGCGTCACTCAAGTACGCGCCGGGCGTTGGGCAGCCCTAGACCTAACACTGGGTTATGGAATGATGCAAGGCGCAAACTTGAGTGACGCGACTGGATTTCATTACGCAGCACTGTAGCTGTGAATGAATTCTGCCCCCATCCACGGTGCACAGCGCACGGCAGCATAGCGCTGCACCCCTATATCTACAATACGTAGTACATGTACATTGTTGAGTTCGAAACAGGACGACTGACGACATATCCAGACATTACAACGGGAACAGGTTAGTGGGGGAACGACATTTATTATAGACGACGAGACAAGAGACCAAGACGAACGAAACGACTACATTGAAGAGTGAGAAAAGAGAGAGCGAGAGATCAAGTCTGAACGGCAAGATAAAGGGCCTGGGTAGCTATGGCAAATATGGGCGGGCAAGTAGCTACCCAGGCCAACGGAACAAAAGGAGACAAAAGGTGCGTACGCAAGTGCATGCAGGCCAGCTAGAAAAGGTACGGGAGGAGGTAACATACCACCCCTCCATGAAAAAAATCCCGCGTCCTCGCGGAGAGAAAAAAAAGAGAGAAAAAGATTTTAAAAAAAATGACTGATGGAGAAAACACACACACACAACACCGCACGGGCCTCACAAAAGTGTTTACTAAAAAATGCACTACAGATCATTACAACCGTCAACGTTCCTGTACTACTCATACTATAGTGTGTACATTGCCAATAACAACGGGCCCAAACGCCCCTTCAAAACATGGCACAAAAAATAACTATTGGAGTTCGACGAGGGACTTGAATTGTATTCTGATGACTAGTATTTTGCACGGCTAATAGAGCCTAGTTACACTTTAAATTATACGACATAAATAAGAGAGCGTGGCTCACCATGATCGGACCCCTAATATTAATGAAGGACACCCGCGCGCACACACACTACAAAAAAATTCACGAAAATAAATTTGACGAAGAAGGAACGCATACAAAAAAAAAGAAAGAGAGAAAGGTAGCTGCTGACCTGCATGGCTGCGCGCACACACACTACAAAAAAATTCACGAAAATAAATTTGACGAAGAAGGAACGCATACAAAAAAAAAGAAAGAGAGAAAGGTAGCTGCTGACCTGCATGGCTTGAACGACACGAGGTTGATATAGACGAGACGAGGTTGGCGTAGGAGAGACGAGGTTGATAGAGACGAGACGAGGTTGGCGTAGGAGAGACGAGACTGACATGGACGAGACGAGGTTGACATAGACGAGACGAATGGCGGTTGAGGACGGCTGGGCATGGGATGATCTCAGGGTCGTGGGTCGATCAATAATCGGGCGCCAATGTTGAGTTCGAAACAAGACGACTGACGACATATCCAGACATTACAACGGGAACAGGTTAGTGGGGGACCGACATTTATTATAGACGACGAGACAAGAGACCAAGACGAACGAAACGACTACATTGAAGAGTGAGAAAAGAGAGAGCGAGAGATCAAGTCTGAACGGCAAGATAAAGGGCCTGGGTAGCTATGGCAAATATGGGCGGGCAAGTAGCTACCCAGGCCAACGGAACAAAAGGAGACAAAAGGTGCGTACGCAAGTGCATGCAGGCCAGCTAGAAAAGGTACGGGAGGAGGTACCTAACAACATGAACAAATGCGGCACCGTGCCCGGGCCGTGTATATCCTGTAATGCTTGTCATTGCGTGTTTTATCACGTGGAGCAGTCGGATTGTGTGGCAGTGTGTTTGATTCAATCAATATACCGTAAAGTACCGTTGATCCGCCCCCTCTCTAATTCCCGCCCCCTGTCGATTTTCTACCTGTGAAGCGACTTCGGCGTATACAACGAAATACGATGTTGAACCGACGCATGCACTGCTGTACACAATACTTGCCAATCCAGGATGAAAATGTGCACAATCCAGCACATCGAATCCGAACTTCTACGTTGTTGTACATCGTACTGCACTTGACAGCCTTGATCTAATTCCCGCCCCCTGCGGAAAACCCAGCTGGGAAGCGACATGGCGGGGGGGGGGGGGGGGGGGATCAACGGTACTTTACGGTACAAGTGTTTAAAAGATTTCCCACCCCACGTTTCGGAGGAAACTGCCGAGAGTCGAAGCTGTAGTCAAAGGTGACCAGGAGGTCTGTTGACTTGTAACTCTATAGTTATTGTTATCCACCAGAAATACAGTGGAACTCTGATAATACGTACCCGCGTGGGCAGCAGGAAAGTGTACTTACTATCCAAGGTACTTCATACTTCAGTATGGGTCAATACACTCATGGTCCAGACAATGTTCGTACTAAGCAAGAGTATGTCTTATCAGAGTATGTACTAAGTGGGTTGCACTGTAAGTTAGCATAACTACTGTACTGATCATGTGCCGTGTGCCTACATACTAAGTGAGTTGCACTGTAGCATAACTACTGTGGTGTAATGTGCTGTGTGCCTACGTACTGAGTGAGTGGCACTATCGCATAACTTCTGTGTTATCATGTGCTGTGTGCCGTGCTGCTGCAGACCGGCTGGGCGTTTGAGAATATCACTCAGAAGCTGCGCGACATCGACAAGAGCAAGCCGCTGGAACTTGTGGTCTTGCGAGGCAATGTACAGGCGCCGTCAGCGGAGGAATCCTCGTCACAGCAGCAGGCCAGCAGCCTGTTCAAGCTCGTTCCCGAGAGCCTGAGTGTCGGTGGCCCGTCCGCCGCGAGCGGCCGAGGTGGAGATCAACCGGTCGCAAACACACCCGTTACTAGCGCCGCACCCTCCAGCTCTGCTTTGCCGACGGACGGTATTGTCAATGGTGATGGTGGTGACGGTGTGGCGCAGACTTCGGCACAGCGGACTCCACTGGAACTGGAGCGCAGTGACAGCAAGGCGCAGATGTGCGATGACGAGGGATCCAGTCCCGAAGTGAGCGGCGATGAGCAGGACGATGAAGATAGCGGTCGGGAGCGGCACAAGCACACCGACGTCAAGACTAACCGGATACTCAACGATAGCAGCCACTGCGTCAAACCCTGCAGTAGCGATGGTGCTGTGGCGCGCCAGCCTCGACACTCGGTGAGTAATTCTCTCCAGCGATATACTGGCTAGGTGTGTGTGTATGGGTGTGTGTGTGTGTGTGTGTGTGTGTGTGCGTGTGGGTGGGTGGGTGGGTGGGTGTCACACTGTGTGTGTGTGTCGGTGTGTGTGGGTGTCGGTGTCGGTGTGGGTGTGTGGGTGTGTGTGTGTGTGGGTGTGGGTGTGGGTGTGTGTGTGTGTGTGTGTGTGTGTGTGAAGGTCCAAAGGTGTGTGCGTGTACGTGCGTGCGTGCTCATGTGTGTACATTTAGCGCGGTGTGATGTATTGATTTCATCTAGGTTCGGTTTAGTACTGCAGTATTGCACGAACAAACTTTTTTATTGTTCGCTAATGTGCCGGTTTTTTGTGTATAGAAACTGCAAGGTCGCAAGAGTGAAAGCAGCGCGGTGAGCTCTTGCAGTGCGGACGGCATGAAAGCTGTCAACGGCAATGGTGATGGCATGCGAGGCACTCAGAGTTGTCACAGCACGCCGATCGACTCGTGAGTAACAGCGGCCCGTGTGTGCATGAGTGTCCGTGTGTGTGTGTTTGTGTGCATGATTATGTGCGTGTGTGTGTACATGTGTGTGCGTGCAAGCATTCATTTACGACATGTCTGTGTTTGTTTGCACATCTTAGGATTGGCATTATTTTAATGTTTTTTGGGGGGGGGGGGAGAATAGTTCTCCACCAATGAGTAAATAGTCCCTTGAAGCGGCATATGATGCCTCTGCTCTGCACATAATCAATACACCTAGTTTCACCACTGGCTGTTCGCTCACTTCGTTCCTGTGTGCATGCATGAATTCACTGCCTTGTCACTTGTGCGCTGGCTGAACTGGCTCTGTTCGTGTTGCTGTTGTTTGTCTTCAGGACGGAACCAAAAGCGCTGGAGTTTGGTTACCGGACGCAAATTGTTGGCGGGGTTGTAATGAGAATACCAGTAACCCAGGTACGCCATTGTTGTACTTGCCGCTGTCTGAGAGGCAATTTTGTCATTATGAATCCGGCCAAGATCACTCCTGCGGCTCAAACCGCGAACATTCATTGTTGTTCATAAGTTGATGGAATGGAGGGAATTGTTGTTCAGTGTTGTCTGAAGATTGGACGGATTGCAATCAAACTGAGAGGAACAGCGAACATATAGCCTCGTTTCTGACGAGATAAAGCGAGATCGATACGGCTTGCTGTCCGGAGATTGAGTAGCTTTATTCCATTGCCAACATGTGCCACTTGGCTCTACCCTCGTGGTATCAAACAGTTTGGCAAGTAATTAGCAACTCGCCTTGTGTGTCTCCGGTATAGGTGTAGTAGCTGGCCCTCGGAGACAATTACACGCACTCAAATAAAGCACTCACTTCATGGTTTTTCCGTATAATCGTAAGGACAGAATATTAGTTGCACACTCGGCAAGTAAAGATAAGAAGTGAAAGAGCACAAGAAAAGAACAATGCAAGAAAACAAAACACACGGCGAGCGGCAGCCATGTTTTCTGTCAGTGCCCAATGAGCACTGTACATTAACCGGTTACCGACAATATTGAGAACATTCTGGAATATTAGAATAAGCGGCCAATCACAGTTCGCCAAAGAGAGTCACATGGGTAAAGTGGAGAAATACAGGTTTTAGCTATACGCAACTCGTGAGTGACTCACGGAAAGATACAAAAACATGCAAGGAGAGAAAATGTAACTACAGTAAAGTAGCGCCAGAGCGCCCCACCATCTCGTCCTTTCGTGGTCGTATTGTGGAGGTGGTCTCCTGTCTGTAGGTCATACGACACGAACTTCGTACACATATTGCGAGTTGAGTTGTGCAGACAATCCGTACCTTCGAGCGGACACGAGCTCCTCACAAAGCCTGCTTAGTGTGACCGTAGTACACTAAGGTTCTCACACCGTACAAACTTCGTTGCACTCTGCCATACAATTTTCCTTTCCCTGGCTGTAAAATCAAGGTGGGGCGCTCTCGCGAGACAGGGCGCTCTGGCGGTACTTTACGGTACTGTCAATCCTGGGGTTTGAAGCTAGGAATCAGTGTCCGTTGTATCAAATAATGCAACTCCTACACTACTCCCTCCTACGAGAATAAAATCGTCCTCTATTTTCAAGTGTATACATCAACACAACACACACCCAAAAAAAATTCAGAGCAACACAGCAATACAGCAGAGATCAAATTAATTATGAAGAAAATAGGACACACATTCTCACACATGTGTCATGGCCAGTGATCTATCTAGTGGCACCAGGCCGTCGACCAATATAGTCGACATCAAGTAGCTCGCTTGTTTCAATTCTCACACCAGAGTGTAGAACAGCAACATTGGCACCAGCAGCAGGACGGTTTTGAGCCATCTTATTGCAAGAAGAATGCAATAGCACGAAAAGGGCAAGCAAAGCTTGGAGGAGAGGCTGTTTAGCTTCTTAGTTCTGACCCGAAGGTGGAATGAGTTCTTATTCCCCATTGGTCCTCTTTTATCTCACCCAGTTGGACTGCCTGGCGAGTCAGTGCTCTGCCATCCTGCCTTTCGGCTTTGCGGTGCGGCTTGCGCATCGCTGCGTACGCAATCTGAATGGTATGGCACTGACTGTTACCAGGCAGTGGTACAAGGTGTAATATTACATTTCCCAGTCCAAAGTTTGAACCCGAGTACGCTAAGTAGTTGTAATAAATCACACCTCACAGTCTTCAGTCTCACTAGGATATGATCCCCATAGTTCGACTGCTAGCTTCCTGACTCCCAAGTACCGGAGTTTATGTAGGCACGTGAGACGTGCACCCCCTTTAGACCAGCCAGTCTAATAGCAAAAGAACCCTTGTGCTCGTCGCACACAGAACACAAGTCAGTGAGTTTACCCGAAGGCCATCTATCAATAGAATATTACAGTGGGACAATCATTCTTGTGCCATTAGTACGGCTTCGGCGACGGCCAGTTTGGCTGCCTCCGCGATTTCGGCATCGGCCTCTGCCGTGAGGTTTTCTTGTGCAGCCTGGGCGGCGTTTCGAGCGGCGAGAGCGTCAGCAGTCGGCCGACTTGACGGCACGTAATGGGCAGCGGATGGCGCCCGGGAGCGTTTGGGCGGCGGGCCCTCTTCTATGGCTGACGCCCATTTTTTCAGTGCATTTAGGATGGAGGTCAACCCTCCAGCCAGCACTCGGAGCTTCTGAGCTTGAGGAAACCGGTTCAGAGCTTCGAGTGCGGCTGCACCCGCCTGCAACGCCAAAAACAGATCCTGCTGGTGACTCGCATGGCGAGGCAGCGCGCGGGTTGCGGAGTGTCCGTTAGTTGCCATTTCTGTTCAGAGGAGAACACACACAGTGGAAAGTGTTTTTTGCATTATCGCTTGACACGATCTCTACGACTGGACCAGTCAGCGATCGGACAGCGTATGGGCCAGTCCATGGGTTGTGTAACTTGCGGCTTTCGCCTGGCTTCACAGCGGTGTTAGCAGCCAAACATACTGTCCAGGTTGAAGAGGTGAACCATGGACACGTCGGTCATAATAGTCCTTCATCCGTCGATGGGCCACGGCGTCGGTCGCACGGGCATAAGTACTATGAAGGACAGACTCAATGCGCTGGACATACTCATGGGTCGAGACAGCTTGGTACTCAGGTGGCAAACCATAATTATACTATGTCTGCAGGCAAACGGAGCTCGCGCCCAAACATTAACCATGCAGGCGTTTCACTTGTGGACTTCTGGACCGCCGTCCGGTACGCTAGTAGACACAGAGGTGCATGCAGGTCCCAGGATTCAGGGTGGCCACTGGCATACAGTCTGAGCGTGGTGATCAGCGTGCGGTTCATGCGCTCGATTAAGCCATCACCAGCAGGGTGGTATGGTGTTGTCCGTGACTTCCGGACCTGAAGCAAGGAGCAAAGCTCAGAAAACAATGCAGACTCAAACTGAGCGCCCTGATCGGTGTGGATCCGGTCAGGGGCACCAAACCGAGAAATCCAGCCGTGTACAAATGCATGCGCAACAGTGCGACCTGTTATGTCTGGTATAGGATAGGCTTCCGGCCACCGAGTGAAGTAGTCTACACAGACGAGTAAATAGTGGTTGCGGGACTGAGTGAGGGGAAGGGGACCAACAAGATCCATAGCTACAAGGTCACCTGGACACCCACCCAACATCGGTACGAGCGGGGCGACAGGCTGGCGACTAGACTTGCCTGCAGCACACACAGTCTCTCCGGAGGCGTGGGTTCGAATCCCACCACTGCCACCAATGTAGTAGCTGGCCCTCGGAGACAATTACATGCACTCAAATAAAGCACTCACTTCGTGGTTTTACGAATAATCGTAAGGACAGAATATTAGTTGCACACTCGGCAAGTAAAGATAAGAAGTGAAAGAGCACAAGAAAAGAACAATGCAAGAAAACAAAACACACGGCGAGCGGCAGCCATGTTTTCTGTCAGTGACCAATGAGCACTGTACAATAACCGGTTACCGACAATATTGAGAACATTCTGGAATACCGTAAAAGCCCGTGTATAGTCCCCGAGCGTATAGAATAGGAGCCTCGATTTCCTGGGCGTATACAAGGGCACGGGCGTTATTTTGGAACCGGGCGTATACTTGGAATAGGGATAGCAGTAAGTATTGGGTATCAGTACCTGTACATGTGTTGGTGTTTCCGGCATACCTGGGCGTATACATGGGCATGAGCGCTATTTCGAAACAAAAGTGTTGACTTCCCCTGACTGGGCGTATACAGGGGCTTTTACGGTATTAGAATAAGCGGCCAATCACAGTTCGCCAAAGAGAGTCACATGGGTAAAGTGGAGAAATACGAGTTTTAGCTATACGCAACTCGTGAGTGACTCACGGAAAGATACAAAAACATGCAAGGAGGGAAAAATGTAACTACTGTCAATCCTGGGGTTTGAACCTAGGAATCAGTGTCCGGTCGATCAAATACCCTATTTCCCCGTAAGTTAGTACGTACTAACTTTCGAACTTAGCAGCCACATGAGTACTAACTTTCGGGGGTGGTACTATCTTTCGGGGAGTACTTTTTTATCGGGGGTAAATGACACACAGTGGGAAGCCTGCGCAACTCTAGTGTCCGTGCATATGATGTATGTACTGTACGGTGTCTGTACATGTAGGACGGGTACGAACTTACTATCTTTCGGGGGGGGAACTGTCTTTCGGGGTGATAACCTCGGCAGTGGAAAGTGTATTTTTTATAGGGGGGGCAGAGCTCACTGACGTGTCAGTTTGAGCACTCTGGCAAGGTACGTTCGGGCCTGATTGGAAATTTTTATTTCCATTGCTATCAGGTTCGGCCTCATTTTCTCTGTGCTGCGCTGATGAGTTCAAAAAGAACGAAACAGCATGCTGTCCGCAGATTGAGTATAGGGGGGGTACTAAGTCATTGGGGAGAACTAACTTACGGGGAAATACGGTAATGCAACTCCTACATAGGGACTTGTACGAATCATGGCATGTATTACAACTTGATTAGGAACCTTCGGGACCGAACATATGCGTCCTCAGTAAGTTAGGGGTGTCCTGAACATAGGTTTAAGAATCGAGAGATGTCCACTAAACGGAGGTTTTACGGTATCATGATTTAGTATACGTTGATGGACTAGTTTTAAAGCCACCTACATGACATGTACATGTGTTGTTCTCTTGATCAGAATGAAGAACCATCAAAACAGAAGGCTGCCAAGAAAAGTAAGTTTTCCTATCGTACGTGTCTGATATGGTTTCCTTGTCTGCTCAGTGTCAACCGCAGAGTACTGAAATATTGTATTTATTCCCGTAGCTATGCAGAAGACGTTACTTCAGTAACGTCTGGCGCTAGCCAGGGTCCACACAGCTTTAATTTGGTATTTGTGTGTTTGTTTGTTTGTTTGTTTGTGTCACGCCTGGCGCTATCCGTATCTAACGGCAAAAAAGCATAGGATGTTATAAATTTTTCAATTCTCCTATTTTTTTCAGGCATATCCTGGGATTCGAACCCGCACTATCGCCCTACATGCATTCCCCCATACACTTCGCATTCATACCCATTCTTCCAAGTTGCTTCGCGTTATTATCTTGCGTTTGAAAGCCCTATTTGAATATTGCGGGCAGCTGTATGTGGCCAGCTGTGTTTGATGGTACGGTACGGGAGACGGTGTCGTATTACCCTCGATCGTACCTGTCCCGTACCTATCCCCTACCGTACCGTGCCATCAAAGACGGCTGGCCACAATGCATATTCAAATAGGGCTTTCAAATGCAAGATCACAATGTGAAACAACTTGGAAGAATAAGTATGTATGCGAAGTGTATTGGGGGATGCATGCAGGGCGCGCGATAGTGCGGGTTCGAATCCCAGGTTATGTCTTAAAAAAAAAGAATTTTTAAAGAATTTATAACATCCCTATGCTTTTTTTTGTCTAGGTCATCAAGGCAAAAACGCATAGCGTAGGGCCCTGAGCTTCCAAGCTCTCTCGCTCGTGCTACTTGAAGTAGAACTGACTTTGAACATTTGACAGACTTGAAGCTTGGTACGCGTGCATTCGTGCAGGCAGGCGGACACGTGTGTGCGTGTGTGTGTGTGTGTGTGTGGGCGAGCGAGTGTGTTTGTTTGATTCATTGTGCATAACCGCTTTATGTTTTTGTGTCCTCAGACAAATGGGCAGTGCTGAGTGCCAAGATCCGTTCGAAACGAGTGAGTTGAGTAGTCATTGGAATACATGATTGATACCGTATTTTTCCGGTTATAAGTCGACCTTTTACGACTGAGAATAGCAGGAGAAAAGGTGGGGGTCGACTTACAACCGGGATTCGACTTATAACCGGGAATTATCGGTATCTTCCAAAAAAGACCTGCTCTGAATACACGAGTGCACCATGTGTATGCATTTTTGCCAAGTTTGTTTGCCTTTTTCAAGGATTGGGATGTTTCAGAATCCAATGAGGAGTGTTTATGTGATTTGTTCATGTGTTAGTAGCAGGGAGCGGTTAGCAGTGCTTCGTTGAGCAAACACTTTAAAAACATAATTAAGACTTCCGGATACGGGGGTCGACCTATAACCGGGGTCGACTTATAACCGGTAAAATACGGTACCTGCCATAGGCACTCCATTGTGTGTCATATGCTGAGTTTTTTTAGAGTGTTGCCATGATTGGTGATCTGGGGTCGGTAGAATTCATACACAATTACTTTTCTGGCATTTTTCACATCTCTCTCTCTCTCCCTCCCTCCCTCCCTCCCTCTCTCTCTCTCTCTCTCTCTCTCTCTCTCTCTCTCTCTCTCTCTCTCTCTCTCTCTCTCTCTCTCTCTCTCTCTCTCTCTCTCTCTCTCTCTCTCTCTCTCTCTCTCTCTCTCTCTCCCTCTCTCTCTGCGCCTGTAATAGTAGGAGCGTTAAAGGGCTGTTGTTGCTTGGCCGATCCATGTTTCTTGAACTTCTCCCTCGATCTTGTGGGCAGTAATTTGATATCACTTTTTTCTCTAAACACTGAGGGGAGGATAAACAGTTGCTTCTCAGATTCCACTGTCTCGCGAATATCCGCCAGCTACTGTTTATGTGTGAATCTTGTCCGTCTGTGTGTAGGTGGTGGAATCTAGCTTGTCAATGCAAGGAATCGGAAGAGCTGGTGAGTTGTCTTGTTTGCCCTGTCTTTCATAGCATGTTGCACTGCTTGTGTTTTGCTGTGGGTCAGAAGCACCACGCAACACTGAGATGTGTGTGAAGCCATGTTTGGTGCTCAACTCTGCATTGAGGCCCCAGCAGGGAGTGGAGGGGGGGGGGGGGGGGGACTAAGAACTGTAGTGTGTGGTGACATTGTTGTGTATTCGTTGACTGTAAAGGTGACTTTAAAATTAATCTGCAACTGTGTTTCTTGACGGCTTACTTTCCATGTCGTTTTGTATGTGGTGTGGCTGTTTGCTTTGTTTGTGTTTAGATCTTGAAAAGAAGGACTCGAATGTAAGTAGAAGTTGCCTGACTGACTTATTTGTCTGCGGAGAGCATGGGTGAGCTCTGTATGAGTACTGGCAGCATATGTGTGGGTGAGCTCTGTGGGTGTATTGACGTTATGCCGTGAATAAGTGTGTATTTTACTTACAGATTCTTCCGGTGGTCGTATAAGTGAGTTTCTCTGGGATTTTTTGTATGTGTGTGTGTGTGTGCACCTGTGTGTGTGTGTGGGTGTGCGTGTGTGTATGTGTGTGCGCGTGTGTGTGTATGTTTGCACGTGTACACACACGTGTATGTACTTACAGCCACGCTCGGCCACTAGCAGTTCTGAGTATGCGTTGGACTCGCCGGTTACCGTCAAATCTAGACGAAGCTTTAGCTCATCGGCAGACCCATCGGCTCCCAAAGATGCATGCGAAAGCGAGTCGGACGTCCTTGGGACTTGCGAGGGGTTTAAAACAGATCGCGCAGCCCAAAGAGGTGAGTTTTGAAGTTAGTAGTGTGGAATTGAAGACTTTTAGAATACCGGTCAAGGATTGTATATCAATAAAGTATTTGGGGAAACCCCTTTAGATGCTTATGAATTGACCTTTGACAGTTTGTTGTTTGTTTTCAGAAAGGACATTGTGTAGAGACTATGAACCTCTTGACATAATGGACGATGTATGTAGCTACTTTTGTCGAAATAAACCGGAATGAATAGATTCGAGCTATTGCGTCTCTATCACATGACCACACAGGGTAGCTATGCTGTTTGCAACTCCACTCAACCCCTACACCTATGGGTCACATGATGTCGGCCATGTTGATTCTACTGTCCACATGCCATGATCACTTTCTGCACAAATTTAGTCAAATGACAAAATTGATTATGTGAAACCACTCTATTCCACTGGATTTGGATAGCTCATGTTACTTGCCGCAGCGCGTGTGGAGTGTGTACGAGAATGTGTTTTGTGCCATTAACTCTCTCTCTCTCTCTCTCTCTCTCTCTCTCTCTCTCTCTCTCTCTCTCTCACGCTCGCTCTCTTTCGTATCTTCATTTGCTTGGTTTTCGTCACCACCGTTTCTCTGCGGGCTTCCTTGCTGGCGCTGTTGTCTTCGTGCTGCAGACAGCCTGAAAAAGGTATGAGCAATGAATAACGTGTCTCCAGTTGTTAATGCATAGCATTTTCATAGTCCTGGGGTGTAGTCTGAAGATTAAAAAAAACAGTTAGTTTATGAATCAATGTGTCCAGCATATGCTGCTGGACTCTCACATCGCGACTTGTTGCAGGCTCAGTCTCATGCCGACTTGTTGCACAGGGGGCAGTGCCGCCACCGGCTTAGTCACATACTGAATACATACTGTACCTTGATTGGTGGGCAAGAACACCAGTGCTGTGCGGGGTCATGCTGACTGCAGCCATTCTATCTTACATCACAATGTGATGCTGACTGCAGCCATTCTACCTTCCATCACAATGCGCTTACATACCAACCTAGTCGTTATTCTCTTGTTTGTTGGGTCCACTGTGTTAGAACCGTAATGTGGTGTCTGGTGACTGTATGGCATCTGTGAAAACCCTTGAAATGACCCTGGAAATCCCCTGAAATTGTGTGTTTATGTTATGCTACGAACCCTGTTTAGAAACGCTCTTCACACGCCATGATTGCTTCTGGCCTGTCACGTATGCTGGACAAGGAGACCACAGTCGGTATGTACAAGTGCTAATGTCCAGTCGGAAACGAAACTTTGTGTTTTCTGCTTAAGAAATTCTGTATTTCTGCATACCACTCTGCGCGTAGGTTCATAGGGCGCCGTTTGCGGGTGGTCCGACTGTCCCTGGTTGTGGAAGTCATTGTGAATAGTTCTCCTATGCTGAATGGATTGTGTGGAGTAGTCTCCGAGAAGCAGGCTTGTTGCAACGTCATTGGAAACTCAGGGAGTATCTGCTGTGTGTATCGAAAATCTCGCTTTGGGGCATACATCTGTTGTCCTTTTGACCTCTACGGGTCAACCCAACGACTCATCATTGCATGTACGTCTGTAGAGGTGTACCGGTGTGTGTGTGTGTGTGTGTGTGTGTGTGCGTGCGTGCGTGCGTGCGTGTGTGTGTGTTTGCTGTGCACACTTTTATCTGTGTGTGTGTGTGTGTGTGTGTTGGGGGGGGGGGGGGGGGGGGGTGTTCGATGATACGGTGCATGTACTTTGGTATGATAGAAGTCAATTGATTGTTTCGTGTTTGTGCTGCAGGAGACTGCGATGTACCAGCACCCAGCCTCACTGATCCGGAATGTAAAGGATGGATGACCAAACAGGGTACGCACTACACAGCTACACACACTTACATACCAGTGCATAACAGTGCATGTACAGTGCTGGATAATGAAATCCAACCTAGATAGTATAGCAGTCCCGGGACTGCACATTCCAAGCACCGTAAGCAGTGGGCAGTGCAGCGTGCCACGGCTCTGGGGTTGGATTTCATATGCTACCACCACTGTAGTAGTTGTATGGTTGTAGTCTTTCTCTGCTGCTTGGCCCAAAGGAGTTGCCGAATGTCAACTTCTGTCAGTCTGGCTCATGTACGTCACTGGCACCGGTTGTCACTCCGTGTTAAGGGCCGTCCATGATTAAGCCACACTTTGTTTTTTCTATGTTTCTCGTCGGCGAATTTTAACAAAAGGTACGCGGGCGGGCGGAAAAAAAACAAAAGCCAAGGAAAAAACAAGAAAAATTTCTACTGAAAACTGTATACATTTTACAGTGCACATGTATATGCGTGATTCATACAAGACACTGCGTATACCATGTATACAGTACTACATTGTACAATCATGTACATGTAGTCCCATACATGATTGCACTACATTATCACATCAACCCACGAATATCAGGCAAACTGCAACAATGTCAATGAGAGCATAAAGTTTGATTACGAGATGGCGAAGAGAACATACATTTATCTGCTATCGCATCAACAAACGTTTCCCACTCGTCATTAATTTTTGGTTTTGTTACTTCAACGTTCTTGTGTCCGCTTATCAAACTCTTGTCTCCATGCTGCTCATCTTTTCCTTGCCATGCGTCTATTGCTTGGATTTTCTGCCTACGACATCGTCCCACAGACGCCAGTTGCCGCGGAACTCGTCCGACTTACTGTTCCTGGGACCCACGAGGCTCAGCTCAGCCAGTGAACGACTGAAAGCTTTGTCATGACAGCCTTCATCGCAGAGAACGGACGAGGAGCGCTCCTTTGCTGCATGCTATGGTGCAAACGTTTAGAATTATTGATTGACGCATCTAGCTGCTGCAGCATGTGCAGCGTACACACATGTACACATGTACGTAGTATGAACTCTTTTTTTCTTCCGAAATTTCTGAAAACCTACGCGGGCGATGACGAGAAACATAGAAAAAACAAAGTGTGGCCTTATCAATCTTTTACACAAATTGAAAAAAGTTGGGTGGGTGGGTCGAGGAGAGTTTCGTTATGAAAAATATTGGTAGTTGAAACATCAATGCATTTTAGCTGTCAAGTCAACATATTTTTCGTTCAAGGGGGGGGGGGGGTGGTGGAGGGTCATAATTAACTTACCGTATTTTCTCTCATAAGAGCCCGGGGTTCTTATTTTTTCGTTGACCCCGTTACCCGTGCTACTATTGGAGACCGGGCTATTCTTTTTTCAATGCTGATATCCTGGATATATCGATACAATGTCACAGTGCCATATTACAGCACATAAAAATTCAGCCAAAAAATGTGTGTTATCTCAATAGATATACACTGTAGCAGTAGCACAGCATTGATTAAATTTATAAGAAATTGAAATACCAATCGATGAAAACAATGATACCGATATTGTTTTTGGTACTGGTACCGGTATGTCATTACCAAAACACCACTAGAGAGCAAATTCAGACTGCCGGATCCATCACTCGTCCAACTCTGACTCATCCGTCTCACTGTTACTGCTGCCGCCACTGTTGTCACCACTGCCATTGCCATCTGCAGCCACTTCAATCTCCATTACAACACCATCTTCCTCATCATGGCACTCTTGTGGCACTGCTGGTGGTGGCTGAATGGGTGCCGTGTCGGTGGACTTAGCCTTGAGAGCGGCTAAGCCTTCTGGAATGGGCCTGTGTGGTTTTAAGCAGTGTATGAGGTCATCCTCGCTGTCATCTGCTTTGTTGGTAATGCCACAGGACTTGAAAGAGCGAGCAATAAGGTCAGTACTCGGGCCATGCCACGCATCCACCACCCTTGTTGTACTCCTTGGTCCCTGTCGCCAGCCATTCTTCGTAAGAGTGACGAATAGCTGCCTTAAAAGGCTGGTTCCAGCTGACGTCTGGAGCTTGCACATACTTCGTACATCGTCCAGGAACAACTGCCTGCTGGATGCCAAGTTGCTTGAGCATGGCCTTGGTGTCCTCTGAAATATGACAGCGGAACGAATCCCAGACCAACAACCTCTTGCTGAAAGCCAGTGGGCCAAGGCAAGATCGCAGGAAATCAGCTGTAAGGGCATTGTCCATCCAGACCTTGCCTGCCCACACCAGGATCAGCTGGCCCCTAAACTTGTCCACTATCGCCTGCACTGGCCTCTTCCTTGGCAGCAACACAAACGGTTTGCATTTACCACCATTCGCACGAACGCACAACATCACTGTGATGTGAAGGTTTTCATGGCCCAGCGAACGGACAGTTACATCCTTTACGCCAATCGATTAGATGCACCGTTTCCCCACAGGGTCTAGCCAAACCGCCGTCTCGTCGCATGCAAACACGTTTGAATGCTGGTAGCGATGCTTCTCCATTTCCTGGCGAATATACAGAACGAAATCAATAATCTCCGGGGCATAGTCAGAGGGAGGCTTTTGGCAGGTGGTTGTTGTAGCGCGGAGTGAGAACCTATGTCGCTTTAGAAACTTCTCCATCCAGCCCAAACTGGCAGAGAAGTCGCCGCCGTTGCTGCACTCCTTGGCGATGCGCTGCGCTTGCAGGCGAATTGCTCGCCGAGAAACAAATGCCTGTTCTCCCTCCGCTCCAAAATCCAATCCCAGACGCGATCATTCACGGTCGATTAGATCAATTTTCGCCCACCGCCTACGAGTCTTTGCCGTTTGGATCCTCTTGTTCCAGCAGCAGAAGCGGCCACGATCGTTTCTTTCTGGCGTATCCAGTTCTGAACCTGCTTTCGATCGACGTTGAATTTGTTTAGCAGCTGCGCTATTTGAAACAGTTTCAGCAAACTTCACAACTTCGAGCTTCCTCTTCAGCGTGTACGCTTTCTTCTTCTTACAGGTATTGGCACCAACACAACTCTCCACTCTGGGTGGCGACTCATCTCCACACAACCCCCCTGACTAAACTACAGTACAGAGAAAAGGAAAAGGAAAGCTTGCGCTGACGATACTCTGACCTATGGTAGTATTTAGTATTTATTCATATTTCTCTAGGGCAGTCCCCACAGACCTATGGTCTCCTTACGGAGTACCCTAGCCAATCTAGGATTGCGATACGAAATTGACTTGAAGCAGCAAGGCGGACCGATGCGGAACTGAGTTCCAGCGGTCGGCGGCTAGATAAGAAAGAGAGGAATAACCAAATCGATAGGAGGCTCGTGGCAGTACAAGTCCAAGCCTATGATATGAAAAGTAGAACGAACCCTGTAGAACTAGCACCTAGCAAGTCACGGCAAGTGCACCGAAACGATTGCGATCGTACTACAGGTCTGCATTGCGCTATGTGCTTCAGTACTACAGAACTACACTCTCTAAATCATTCTAATAGTGACCCGCTCCACTATTAGAGACTGCGCACTGCAGTACTACAAGACGGAAGTCTCTAATAGTGACCCGCGCTACTATTAGAGACTGCGCTATTATTAGAGACCTGCACTATTATTAGAGAAAATACGGTATAAAGTGGATGCGGTACCATATTTCTCCAGCATTGTTTAAAAGTCTTCTGTTTCCCATGCGTGTGTATGTTGGAATGCATTTGCGTAATGTCTTGCTCGTGCTGTAGGCAATGTCAAGAAGAATTGGAAGCGGCGGTGGTTCATCCTGAAAAACCTCTGTCTCTACTATTATCGTACTCCTACGGTGAGTTGTAATACTTGAAATTCTTTGGTTTGAGGAAGGTGATATGGGAGAAGCCGAAGAAAATCTATTCTTCCGTCACGAGGATCCAAAGCAGGTACTCCTACTTTGGCCATAGGCCAGTCATGCTCCACAACCACCAATCTACGTGTATGGTGCTGGCTGTGATGCGGAATGGGCTGATGGACTGCTGTCCTCGCTATACTCGCACACTACACACCAGGCAGGCACAGTGGGTTGGTCAAAGACCATGATTGAGATACGAGAGGTACCGGGTTCAAGTCCTGCCTGGGAGCGGTTTTTCCAGCCGTGCTGCTACCCACAGTCAACTGGGAACTTGTGGCCAGGCACACGGGGTACATGGATGCAGCTAATGGGGTCGTTTTCGGCACTTGTACCAGTGGTTGTGAGACATATCCACTCACCCCCACCGTTAGGCGCTGCATCTGCCGCTAGGGTTTACCGGGTGTTCGCGGCCGTCTTGAATTCCCTTCGGGAATGGACACGATAATTTACTTTTTTTACACGCAAACGCTAGTACTCATGGAGCCCCAACATATACCTGAGCAATGGATGCAGCTAATGGGGTCGTTTTCGGCACTTGTACCAGTGGTTGTGAGACGTATCCACTCACCCCCACCGTTAGGCGCTGCATCTGCCGCTAGGGTTTACCGGGTGTTCGCGGCCGTCTTGAATTCCCTTCGGGAATGGACACGATAATTTACTTTTTTTACACGCAAACGCTAGTGCTCATGGAGCCCCAACATATACCTGAGCAATTGTCTCCCTCCTTTTTGGGATTATTTTTCTTCTGCTTTATACAGTTATTTTCCGTAGTATTCTGGCGTTCAATTGTTTCTATGTCCGCATGTCCGTGGCATGCACAAAATCCATCAGTATCCTGGCCAGCTGTTTATGTATGTATTGTTTCTCCTATGACTGTGTTTGCAAGTGCAGGATCAGCAAGCACTCAATGTCATACCACTGCCCAGCTACATGATTGAACTGGCGCCGGACATCAAGAAGAGTTTGTAAGTGTGTGTGTGTGTGTGTGTGTGTGTGTGTGTGTGTGTGTGTGTGTGTGTGTGTGTGTGTGTGTGTGTGTGTGTGTGTGTGTGTGTGTGTTTCTCCATCCAATGTTGTTCTCACCCCCATAACGTATGCAATATTCAGCTGCCTGGTCATTGTCAAAGACGTGAGGGTTTCCTTCTCGTTTCTCCTTGCACATGGGTCCACGGAGAAATTGCTACAAATTGCCCTCCTTCGTGTACACTGCAGCATCCTAGCTGATCACCTTTGCTGTCTTTTATGATATCGATTCATGTTTTGGGTATTGCTCTCGGCCGGATTGGCTCGCAATCAATCTGGCGCCGTTTGCATAGGCTTTCCATGTGTTCTTTTTTTCTCGCTGCCTCATTACGTTCACCGTGTGTGTGTGTGTACGTGTGTGTGCGTGTGTCTGTGTGTGTGTGTGAGTGTGTGTGCGTGCGTGTGTGTGTGTGCGTGTGTGTGTGTGTGCACGTGTGCATGTGTACGTGTGTGCACCCGCACTCCCCCCGAATAGTGCGCTACGCCTGCACCACAGCAACGCCAGGACGTTCCTGTTCTACTGCGATACGTTTGAGGAGATGATCATGTGGATGGATGCACTGCGCGTGGCCTGCGGGGGACAATGTAAGTCCAGAACAGAGCTCCGTAGGGTCAAGCCTAGGTGCGTGTTATACTCCGGCAAATACAGTATGCCTCGACTCTAGAATCCCTTTCCTCCTGAATCAGCTTGTTTGGTGTGTATGATATTACTATCTGTCCTGGTGCCTGCACCCAATCATTGTTATGTTTTATTGATGTGTTCTGGTTTCATGTGCAGTGAAAACTGTGGAACAGTCTGGATCTGAACTTTCAATTAAAGGTATGCCCGTGGTCTTGTCCTACTATTGTTCCCCTATTCTGCTTCGGTCACGAGATTCCGTTAATGAGAGTGACAAGAAAACGTTCTGGAACCGAAACTTTGCTAGTTGTTTGTGGCATAAGGGGCCGTGAATAATCATCGATCTTTTTCACCGTCGGAAACAGAAAACGTTTTTTTAGTAGGTGGTGGGTCGAGGAGAGTTTCGTTTATTAAAAAGGATAGCTGAAGAATGTCTTGATCAGCAGTTGATGCTGAAGCAGACTAGGACTGGCCTGCAGTTGAAGCGTATGTGGCTGGCCAGCAGAAAACAAACTCTCCAATCCAGTCTACCTTGCGATCCCAAGTATTCAACCGCTCTTCCTGCAGTAAAATCTTCGGCTGATGGTCCAGTCTCTTTGCGAGAGCAGGCACATGAAAACGTGACAAATTTCATGCAACGAACTACACCTACGAAACCACTGTATAGTGACGGGGTGCGGTCAAGTACTACATTTTTGCGGAACACAAAAGTTTGGACGAAATCACAAAGTCCGGTGCAATTTTGCACGCAGTGTGAGCACAAATTATCAAGTTACCCACAGAGGCACAAGCTTTCCGCCTCTCCGACCTTTCAAAGAGTCTTGTGTGTTTGCGTGGCCAATTTTTGGTAGGAAATTTGATTGCGCAATGCTGCGCTATCCTGTCACCGAGTACAGACATGCATGCTGGCGGTGCGCTTTCTCGATGTCAACCATCCCCCGAGACAGCAGGTTGAATGCAATCTGGACCAAGCGCAAACTCACCGTGTTTTAAAACACTCCGGTCAAGCGACGATGCATGCACGCTGTGATTTGAAAAATCTCCTGTAAAAAAATCACGATTCGCATCAGACTCAGTAAGACTGAGTTCTCAGCATTCGCAGGAACACCACCACACTCTAGGATCAAGGTACTTGTATTCTTTCCCTGCCAAGCCTTGATCCGGGGTACTGGCCACGTCATGGTGAACGCAAACTCGCAATGCACTCACCTGCATGCTCAGGTTCAGCACTGAATTTATTATATTGTCACTCCACATTGACGGATTTTCACGGTCTATGGCTTGGTTGGAAAGATCTGGATCCAACAAAGACACCAAGATAGTTTCCAGCTCAAAAGACAAGCCAGGAAGACTGCTAAGTTCTCTCCAAGTCCCCCTACCATGCCTCTAAATTGCAAAACAATAACATCTCGCATTTTCTATCGTCTCCTTACTCACTCTCAAAGGATTTTCACGATTCAAACTGCAAAAGAAAGCTGAGATTCAAGCGCTTCCTTTGATACCCAATACGCATGTGTTGCTCTCAAGGGAAATCCCCTGCATGCACGAAGTGACGAGCAAAAGGTTTGAGTCGATCGCCGGCAGGTGAACTTTAAAATTTCCTGCTGTTCACACCGCCGGCGCTCAGGGATACATTGGCCTATCACGAAGATCGTTGCATTACTGGAAAGCTGAGTCCAATACCTTTCCAGCGATGCATCATTCGTGAGAATCCCTTGCCGTTTGAGTGAGTTACGAAAGTTTGAACACTCGTCTATATGCCGTGATGTGTAGTGTACTGTACCGTACACTTTGGGTGCGTCGCGTATACTCGTCGCTGGCCATCCAGGGTGCATTCTGAGCGTTGCGTATACACGACGCTGGCGTGCAAAGGGTTAAATTAAACTGTTGTCCATGACCACATGTATTGCCTATGTGCTCATGACCGCATTCATGTTCTTTTCATGACTGCTTTGTCATTTGCAGAATCACTGCTCACGGAATCCTCCAAACTCTAACCTGACTACGGCAGCGATGCACACATCTCCCTCTACATTCAGTTCGCTCTCCGACGTGTTGGTTTCATCCTCCAACATCACCAGCAGACGTGACTGTGTGACTGTTTCGTCATGCCATGCCACACTAATGCTTGCAGTCCGCGCTGTGGACAATGTGTGAACGATGCACACTACACCGTGTGACATTCACCCGTGTAGGCATATACTCTTCCAGTCGCCATCCTGATGAACTTCTCAAGATAACTTCTAGGGCACACGCCTACTAGCACCCGTATGTCGTCGTTGAGGACTGTGTACTTGTGCGACAGGGCAACCCTGTCACTGTCTTTATCATCATGTTAACATTGTGTGCTCACCATTGTGTGAAGCATCTTTTCAGCTGTGCCTTGTGTGTGGGTGTGTGTGTGTGTAACTGTGTGTGTGGGTGTGTGTGTGTGTGTGTGTTTCGTATGTTACGACCCGCCAGTAGTGTTTGTGTGCTTGTGTTTCTAGCATCTTTCTTTCGTCCCTGCCATTCGCCTTGAGCAGCCATGCCCAGTCTTGAGCGGTGCAGCAGATGTTCTAGTTGAATCGTCACTATCTTGGACTTTATGTTGACTTGACTTGAGATGACATGTCTGTTGGTTGCAGTACCTCGCTTGCTGTGTTATTGTGTATAGTTCTTGCCTCTGTGACTATCCAACATGCTCTAACTAATACAGAGACTGTACTGAAACCTGTCTTTGGACACCTTCATGTGCCAAGCAAGTGCTGCTACAACCAGCGAATGAATATGAACAACTGCATCAGTCCTACCACGCGTCTGAGTTACAGAATGCTGCCACCACCCTATCCTATCATTTATCTTATTTATTTGCCCACACGATCTTTTTTTGGTCAATTCATATGCACGCCAAATGCCACGATATCTTGTGCTTCTGTATGTGTGTGGGGGGGGGGGGGAGGTGATGTGTGTGCACTCGCTCACGCCCTCCACTGTACTGCCACTGGGTTCTCTTCTTACTACGGATACTGCGCTGGGCTAGTAGCTTGTCTGCACTCTTTTTTTGTGATACTACAGCTGTTTCCCTATCTTGCTGTGATGAGCACCGTCTTTGCGCTGCATTGAGTGTGAGCGTGTTTGACTTAGGGCACATTTCTCCTATTGTTTCTTAGATCAAAAAATATTGCTCACCAGACAATCCTATAAACTCACTAGACATTCTGTTTCGCTGCAATCCTCTTTGTGATCTCTTCTGGTGTCAAGTGTGTATTGTATTGAACTTCAACCTTTTGACGCCCGTCGCCGGAGGCAATGGTAGCGATGCTACAGCAGAAGCCATAGCAACTTGTGCTGGTATTGCACCATTCAACAGCTTACAAGGCTGAAGAATTGGCTGCCACTGTTCAGCCTGGTCTACGCCACACAGCTATTTGAACTTAAACCTCGCACTATACTTGTGAAACCGAAAACTTCAGTGGAACAGGTCAAAACAGGGTGAAGGTGAAGAGATGACTAAAAGCAAGGAGTAGTACAATACCGATATTCTACTACTCCCTCCCTGACTAAAAGTAAGAGTACATAACCCCGTGGGGGCTTCTCTTGCTAAAACATAATGAAAACATCAATAGCGTTTCCGGACACTTTCACGAGGATTAGCGCCAAACAACTGAAGAGAACTTTTCCTTCTGAAGTGAATACACAGTTCAGGGGACAACTAACTTTGTTACTTACGAATAATACAATGTACATTCCTCCAAAACAGACACATGTAATACAGATCAGCCACGGACCAAAACTGAAAACACAATGATCTCTGTACAAATCACGAAAATACCACCAACCGACAGATGACTCTTGATAGCCGATCGCTGATTCGTCGACAGTCGGATATTTTTCGTCACCTCCCCATGTCACTGCTCTTGACTCATCCTTCCCACTGTGCCGGAGTGTTTGTCGTCACATCCGATGTTGCAGGTCCTTGTTGTTGTTGTGCTTCAGTGGATATCAAAACCGGCATAATGCTTAACCCACTGTGAATAAATGACTGTCTAAAAAGGATATTGTGGAAAAGTAGAGATAGGAAAAAGAATGAAAAGAAAACGTCCTGACTCGTCCTTTCCATCGCACCATCGGGTCCCCTTCCGATTCTTCCGTTGTTTTGGTCAGTGGCTTTCATGGGGGTCTTCCACGCTTCCTCCCAATCACGCTCGCTGTCACTCACTGCTCGTCTCTCAGTTCAGGGCGTATCCTCATTTGGCTACGAGTGACTCGCTTTCTCTTGCCGACCTGCGTTGGCCCAGGCCCCGCATATGCCATAGAAGCAGAAGTCGATGGTACTGTTGAGCCAGACACAACCTTGGACTGGGACAATGCTTCACGCGATGCATACTCAGTAGACGCACATTTAGGAGGACGAGGATCACTTGCATGTACAGGAACTAAACTCAACGGTGCTAGTAGACCTACATCTACCGGTACATGTAATTGGGCGACACCGCCCGTTTGGTTCTGCGAATTCAAATAAAAATGTACCTACCTACCTACATGCTGACGGATTCGTGCGCCAAGGTGATGAACAGTTCTGCCCGCATACCGACTCTCACACTGTCGGCATTGAACAAAGTAGATGAGTTTACTTGTGGAGAGGGTGGGCAGAACATTTTTCACCACCTTGAACGCACGAGTCGTCCCAACTGCAACATTATAGTTTGACGCACGGATAAGACGAACTGACAATATTATGGCAAACGTCCTCCTCTGGATATATGCAGCACCAGACAGAGCCCACCCAAGGCAGGCGCAGTACTATTTATAGCACTAACTGGTCAATAAGTCAGTGGTTTAGAATGATAGTACTGGTTGTTCAATTTACTAGTAATGCATTCCCAACTCATCACAACCACGCGCTCTTCAACCGAACCATACAGACACCAGCAAGGACACTTCCGTTGAGAGATAATATTGTTCCACGCCTCTAGACAGCTGTTTCGCTCCCTGTCGGAGCTCATCAGTAGAGGATAATGATGATAATGGAGGAATGATCATTCTTATACACCAGAAATGGCGCAAGTGCGCGTTTTCCACATTTTACAATGGCATAATAATTATTATGCTAGCTGCTAAAATGGTAAAGTGTGAGAACAGCGATAAAATATTCATGGTACGCGCTCATTGGTGGAGGAACACACCACACAGGCGGCGAAAATCTTAAAATCTTACGCGGAATATTGATGCCACTGGAAAGTACATGTATGTTGTTTATTATGATGATGTTGCAATGTCCATGTATGCAGGCGAGGCGAGACTCACCGCCGAGATCCCCCAAAGCGACAGACTCGGTTGCCGTTCAGGCTTCACACCGACCTGTCCGCCCGTCAACAGGATCGACAGCGGGAGGCTCGTCGAGTAATTTAATCTGAAAGGTTTGAGGTAGCCTTTTGTTAGTATTCTTGTTGGACTTCTGCGAATCTTCCATCCCACCGTCACTGTGCATGTGGCCACCTATGAACTGTAGGTTTGTTGCCGAAGACTGTCTACTGCCACGATAAGGATGAGAAGACATGCCTGCTGTTTTATCATCTCGCACTGAAGTTTACATCGGACGAGGAAAGGAACGACATAATATCTTTCCTGGACGCTAGCACCACAATGAAAGGTTAACACTCGTTCATTGGACATGCAGGACTGTTTATCGAAAGCCAACATTTACTGGAAACAAGGAAAACGGTGGAGCAGTGCTCACTTTTTTGCCGTGGAATGTCTCAGTACTCCTTGTCAGTCTGCTACTACCTTGTGCACGTTTGACTGTTCAAAATCTGGCCCGTTTGGTGGACTCCAACACATAACTAGCTGTGCCCCACCGTTTTCCTTGTTTCCATTTTTAAATATTTCCTTGCCTGACCATCTGAGTACTTCCAACATTTACTGGTTTGAACATTCCATGGGGAAGCTACGCACCGACAACGTCAAAAAGGAATTATTTGGTCAAAGCCCTGGTTTATTGTGCCAATCGAATATGCTGTCCACATCTATTACAAGAACGATGAGTTGGATCGACTTTCTTCTATTAACACAGGGCCCAGAGGCGAGCCTATCGCGAAATTCAACTCCAGACGTCACCATTAGCATGTGTGTTACAAATTCCTTTTCGCCCAGCCATGGCGGAATGATCGACCTGTTCTAATTTCAAAGGTGTCCTTGGCACATAGCCATGGCGTGTGTCTTACTCCAGCGGCTGAGCCGGTGTAGAGACTGTACAATGCTGTGTCAAGGACACCTTTGAATTTATCGACAAACTGACGGACTGGTCGGAGTTTGTATCAACCGGTTACATGTGCAGCCAGCCTCTTTTACGGGCAAAAGAAACACACTTCCTCAGCCTACTCAAACACACTTCCTCAGCCTGCTCAAGCTCAACTGATGAGGGTGAATTCCCCGGAACACTGTGTATTGAGCAGGGAGTGGTGCTTTCTTTCAGGTTTGCCGAGTGGAAGGTTCGATGGACTTCTCGTGTGCTCTAGGTGCTCTGGATGGCAGTCGTGAGTCAGTCAAGTGAGAATTCAAGTCGGCAGGAATAGCGCAAGCTCCCAAGTAGGGAGCAACACACAATTCGAAAAGAAACACAATGGATGAAAATGGCAATACAAATGCAAACCCAGAATGGTTACATGTGCTCTTACAAAAAGAATAGAATGGGATACGGAGCTTGGGTTGGCTGTGACTCAGAGTTTCACGCCTGTGGCGATCATCAGACAGCAATGATTACAAAAACTCAATGAATGTTCTTGATAATTATAGTGTGGTAAGGTGCTAGTGGAATCAGAGAATTTAAGCGCAAATAAGGTCAAGCGGTGTGCTCTTATGTCGTTATGATGTTGTGAGTCTGTTTACGAATGTCCCGCTACGTGAAACCATCGATATCTGCTCGGCCGCATTATTCCATAACAAGTCGATCACTCGGCCATGGCTTGGCGAAAAGGAATCATTAGTTAATTTAGTAAACTGATGCTAAAGGTGACGTCTGGAGTAGAATTTTCATTTGACAATAATAATGTGAAACCCTTAGACCAGCACACGATTTTGGAGTTACTAAAAATTAATAGTGAAAACGACCTGTTGGTCATCCCTCTAATGTGTGAAGGACACATTGTGTATCTTAGTATAATACTGAGGTACGTTAAACGTTGGTGAGTTAGTTTTTTTTCTCTGTATCAATGTTCTTTTTTTGGTGAGTTAGTTGAGTGACTTTTACCACTACCGTACATGTATGTTTTGCTCTTCATATGTGTCGGTATAAATCTATGCGCCGTGTGTGTGTGTGTGTGTGTGCGTGTGTGTGTGTGTGCGTGTGTGTGTGTGTGCGTGTGTGTGTGTGTGTGCGTGTGTGTGCGTGTGTGTGTGTGTGTGTCATCGCTTCGGCGATGGGCATGTCTGAGTCTGAGTCTGAGTGTACGTGCGCGTGTGTGTGTGTGTGTGTGTGTGTGTGTGTGTGTGTGTGTGTGTGTGTGTGTGTGTCACTTCAAACAGCTGTGTGGTGGATACCAGGCTAAACATAGTGGCGGTCAATTCATCAGCCTTGCAAGCTGTTGAATGGTGTAATCCCAGCACAAGTTGCTATGTCTAACATAGCTGTTCGCTATCATCGCTCCCGCGATGGGCATGTCTGAGGTCTGAGGTGTGTGTGTGTGTGTGTGTGTCCCGTATATACCAGTGTTATTGTCAGTGTCATGTATGCTGTTCGTCACCAATCACCATGCTCTCATGTCTCATGTTAGGTGTTTGTCCAGGACCTGATCTCAATACATGTACTGCCGAACGGAAAAGCGTTGTTTATTTTGCCCATAAAAAGGATCACGCAGATGTCAATGGACTGCTAACGTTATTTGTACGACTGTACTGGTCCGTCGTCATTGTACATTCAGTAGCTGAGTTGCATTTGGGAGCCATGAGAGCTGTCAGACTTTCAGGACTCCCTGAATGCCTGGTTGCATCCAGTCGGAAGCTGGCACAGTCAATACCGTAGTGACCATAGCGTGTCCGACACCCATGCATGTATATGTATAGCATGTAGCAGGATAGATGTAGTGATGTATTCCTAGGCTATAGAGTAAAGGCCTATGGAACACACAGCACTTCAGACACATGCTTCTGTGTTTGTCATGACTGTTCTGCTTGCATCAGGACGTCGCATAACAAACCAGCAATGCTGTCTTAGAACATGTATGACACTACATGGGTGCAAATACCCGCTAGCAGTTGATAGCGTGGTGAGTATTGAATGCGTTC